TATTCATATATAAGTAAATAAATAAATAAATAAATAAATAGATAAATAAATAAATAAATAGATAAATAAATAGATAAATAAATAAATAAATAATATATAGATATATCTATAATATATATATATACATGTATATATATATAGGTATATATATATAGATAACATATAAATATATATATAAATATTCATATATATACATATATATATATGTATATGTATGTATATATATCTATATATATATACATACATACATACATGCACACATATATACATATATAGATACATACATACATACACACACACATATATATATATATATATATATATATATGTATATATATATGTATAACACATACATATAGACATATACGTATACATTCATATCTTTCCGAATACATACGGTTGAAGTGGCAGTTGGTGTCGACGGCTGGTCCACACCGAATGATTTGGTGGGCAGTTCCGAGGTCAACAGATCGTCGCACTCTAGCACTTCAATCTGTGGGTCACAACCGGCGTTGGGTTTTCAGTAATATGAGATTTTGGGTTTCCGGTTGAGCCCACAGATACAGAAAACAAGTGATGACTCATGTTTGGTATATCGACGTAGTTTTTGATGTACCACATATAAACAGAACTGCGATGGTCCGAATATTACCTGTTAGATGGGTGAGCGCGCAAGAACCGGACAATACATACAAACAATACAGAACACTGGTTGCTGCATGTTGTAAAACAGTAAAACAGTAAAACCTTAGAACCCTAGAAATTTAAAACAGCCCGTGATAGGGTATGCATCGCCAACCACTACTAGAGACGTCACTTCAGACAGCGACAGTTGTGCGTCTAATACAAATGAGTACAAAACTACGACCGAGGTAACCACGCCATAACCACTGAACAACCGATCAGTACTACAATCAATGGCAGCCACACCACCAAAAGAGTACGCACCCTTGCACCAGCAATGGTACGTAACATAACACAAAACACCCAACAGGACAGGTGTATTACATTCATTGGCAGCCACACCACCAAAAGAGTACGCACACTTGCACCAGCAATGGTACATCATAGAACACACAACACCCAACAGGACAGGTGTATTACATTCAATGGCAGCCACACCACCAAAAGAGTACGCACACTTGCACCAGCAATGGTACGTAACATAACACACAACACCCAACAGGACAGTATCACATTGCGACCTACCAGGATCATGAACGGCACGCGATCCTTTGAGTTGAGAATCACTGACTCAGTCGGTGGGACGCGCACGATGTGATGCTGTGCAAGGTGACGATGTCATGTGAGGACATAAATCCAGTGTTTCGAATGAGGATAGCGTGTGTGTAAGACGGGGACAGACTGTGAGGCTGTAGCGGGGGTGTGCACTGTGTATGGGTGCATTGTGGGTGGGTGCATTGTGGGTGAGTATATTGTGGGTGGGTGTATTGTGGGTGGGTGTATTGTGGGTGGGTGCATTGTGAGTGGGTGCATTGTGGGTGGGTTTATTGTGAGATAGTATATTGTGGGTGGATGTATTGTGAGCGGGTGTATCGTAATAGTACGGACCAACTACCACCCCTCCGCAAAGCACAATCCATCAACGATAACCTGCACGTACGCCAAGAACGACTTATAGAGGAGTTACAGGTTGAGTAGCAGATGCGCTATCGGATGACTCATCGATGACTCACGGGTGGATCGCTGCGAGAAACAACCCCGCCCCCCCCACTTCCCACACCGACCCCCGGAAACCCAAAAAGCAAAACAACCCAAAAGTTCGGTCCTACAGTGTGAAGAGATACCTGACGCGAGTCCGACGCCACCATCAACGGCATGTACACTCGCGCTGGCAGGTTGAGGTTAATGGCTGTCAATTCAGCGTGCAACCGAGCCCCGCGCATTTCCCTATACAAAGTGAGCGGAAATACAGACTATGAATTAAGATATATATGTGTGTGTAAAAAAACAGAATTATGAACTCATAGTCTGTGGTTCACCGTGTAAGCACAGAACAGACTCGAGAACCACAGACTAAGCATCAGGACGGGTAAGTGTCAGAATAAGCACAGGACAGACTCAGAGCTGGTTGTAGCGTAGTGGCACCAAATTATACCAGCCCGCAGTGACAGGAGATGCAAGTGGTGCGATAGGTACTTATTATTATTGAAAAAGTTGAACGGATATCAATGCGATATGAACGAAGCTCAAAGTGCATACGCGTGCTGTATGTATAGTGGTACTGAGTGTGGTTGGCATGTAGTTACACTGTCGACGAGTGCGGCGCTACAACAGTAACTAGTCCCACTACTGAGAGAGTGCTAGCCACACAGCGGAGACTACAAAAAACACACAAACGACACCGAAGAGACACGTAAGGACATCACCCGCGTGCTGTTACCGGTGACCATGCACAGCTTTGTGTACTAAGTAATCTGTGCAGGTCAGTATACTGCAGTGTGCGGACAGGGTTATATGCATATATATATATATATATATATATATATATAATAATATTATATATATAGTGTTATATATATATATATATA